TCCAAGAAGTTAATTTCAAGCCAAATAAGATCTGCTTTACACAGAGGATAACGCATGTCCGGAACTTGTTACGAAGAAGTTATTTTTAAAAAATATCTTCTTATTGATTTCAGAGAGGAAGGGAGAGGGAGAGAGAGAAACATCAATGATGAGAGAGAATCATTGATCGGCTGCCTCCTGCACGCCTCCTACTGGGGATGGAGCCTGCAACCTGGGCATGTGCCCTTGACCGGAACCGAACCCGGGACCTTTCAGTGCGCAGGCCGGCGCTCTATCCACTGAGCCAAACTGGCCAGGGCACGGACAGGTTGTTTAAACAGGAATAGGTGGACGAGGGTGCAGGGAGACTCTCGACAACCCTAGGGCTGCACACACTGGACAGGCCACTGGTTAGAGCCCACATGCTGGGCTCCAACTGCAGTTAAGGCCCCGAGAACACGAGGAAAGGCCTCACGTCTGGACCCCAGTTCCTTTAACTCATCGATGATCCATCTGTTTTTGTTTGTTGGGTCTCGGGGTTTCAGGCTTTCTCCGGACAAGACCCCGACATTTTACTGAATCGACTTCTGGCCCGAGTCAGGGAGCAGCATGAGAAGCGTGGGCACCCCTCTGAGTGCTTCTGGAAATACTGCGTCTGAAGTGAGGACCACCTACTTGTCGACTCAAAGCCAACCGTCTTAGAACATTAACAGCAGACACGCTTGATCTGAAAAGAGCCCAGAAGGAACGCTAGGCAAACTCTGCCCTGTTCATTGTCATTCGGAAAATAAATCCTCTATGTTTTGCAAATAGCATCCGTGGTTATTTTACTTACAAACATACCAGAGGCCCGGTGCATGAGATTTGTGCACTGGAGGGGGGGTGTCCCTCAGCCCAGCCTGCGCCTTCTCGCAGTCCAGGACCCCTTGCTCCTTACCGCCCGCCTGCAGTGGAGGCGGGAGAGGCTCCCGCCAGCCATGAGCCTGGCTTCCGGCTGAGCAGCCCTCCCACTGTGGGAGTGCACTGACCACCAGGGGGCTGCTCCTGCATTGAGTGCCTGCCCCCTGGTGGTCAGTGCGTGTCATAGCAACCGGTTGTTCTGACCTGTTAGGTCAATTTGCATATTAGCTTTTATTACATAGGATCTAAAATCTCTAGCTCTTCTTTCAATTGATTTTTTAAAGAAAATTATCTGAAAATGTAAAAATAAAGCTAATAAATGAACAGAAGCAAATGCTAAGAAAAAGTCCTAAAAGGAAAATTTAGTTAAAACAGTTAAACTGCAAATCATTTAAATAAATGACATCTTAGGTATGACCTCCTCTCAGCCCTTAAAACTGATGACGTGAGTTATTACTTACAAAACCCGCATCTCCACTTGGAAAACCCCCGGGAGCGAGGGAGGCCACGGGGCCGGGACCATCCGAGGCCCCTGAGGCTGGTGGGGGGTCACGTGCTCTGCCCCGTCCCTGAGCTGACCACGTGCTGAATGTGGGAAACCTGCATCTGCTGACGCCGAGCCGGGTTTGATCTCAGTCCCGTGAGCCCATAAACCACAATCCGATTCTTACCAACCAGGAAGGTGGGTGGGACTTACGGCCGTGGAGGGGAAGGAACCGCCTGGCGTGTGGGACCCTATGTTCTACGACTACACCTACGCAAACGCAGCCAGGCGGGCGGGGCACAGGGAGCCCGAGAGCGTGCCTCCAGCAGGAACGGACAGCCTCGGCGTCCCCCGAGCCCTGCACGCACCCCACCACCACCTGGGAGGGGCAGAGCTGCCCACTGATCTCAGCAAACACTAGTCTCGCACAGAGCACAGGCCAGGCCAACCTCCCGTCCTCACTGCAGACAGGCCTACGGGAAAGACGCCTCAGGGCCGGGGAGCGGCTGCGTCGCCGGGAACACGCTCACGCTAGGGCCGCGGGGGGAACACGGGTGTCCGCGCTGAAGCGGCACCAATACGAACTCACCAGCAGAACTTCGAGCCACAAGACGATTCATATTTACGATCCCGGAGAGAAGGTGAGTTCCACTGCACACGGCTCTACACCCCTCCCTGGTGTGGGGACGGGAGGCTGCTATCCGGACAGATGGGCCCTGCGGTCAGGTTCCGCGGTCCGAGCCTGTCCCCATGCACGTGGGCACCTGGCGGGAGCCCTCCCAGGTGGCGTCTCGCCCACCTCAGCTCCTTCTCTGGGAACCGTGTCTTCTGCGTGTCCTGCTGCTCGTTACAGAAGGTGCCGACGGCTGAACGGTGCACCATTGGCAAGTCCTGCTGGTTCCAGGCTCGGTTCCTATTTTAATTTTGAGATGTTGCTGCCGCCAGCGACCCAGACTTGGTGAAGACGGTTCACTGGAGGATCCTGAGGAGTCACTTGTAACTGACTTTATAAACTCGGCACTGACACTAGTATTCACCACGTGGGCACAGATTCAGGACCTACCGACGCCTCCCGTGTAAGGACTGGGAAACGCCGATCGTCCACACGCGCTCACACCCCCACAGCTCACACCCCCACAGCTCACACCCCACAGCTCACACCCC